TATCATTATACTAGACACTTTCCTTTTCCAAATCCCCTATGTTTTCTCCTTTTATTATTTATATCACTGATGGCCTCTAATGATATCTTTGGAGTTCTGTAGAATACTTATTTGAGGGTACAAATTCCTCAATTGCCTATTTTTTTCTCTATTTAGAAACAAGAGGCAGATATGGATACTGATACTGACTTACAAATACATTGTGTGACATGTGGACTGTCAYTGGCTCCCAGAGTAGCACTGAGACACATGGAGAAATGCTATATGAAGGTACATCATTATGAAGTTGGTTGATGATGATAATAATGATTATTTATTGATATGAATTGTCTGTTGCTTTCAGAATGAAAGTCTTACAACATTTGGATCAGTCTACAAAAGTGCAGGGTAATCCAATGATTTAATTACAAATTTTATACAAAAAGCTTTTGTTCTATATATTTTTGTTTATTCTAATCAATTATTGTTTTTGTTGTTCTTTAGAGCTCTATTTTGTGATTTTTATAATTCCCAACAAAGAATATATTGTAAACGATTGAGAGTGTTATGCCCAGAGCACACTAAAGAACCAAAGGTACATCATTTTATCAGTGAAATGACCAATTATCCTTAAAAATGATCCTAACAGTGGAAAAAACAGGTATCCCAACATGTTAACTAAGAAAGAAAGTGAATTTTTCCAGGTTCCACCAAATGCTGTATGTGGCTGTCCATTGGTAAAGAATGTCTTTGAAGACACAGATAGTTTATGCAAGGCACCTAAAAGAACCTGTATGAAACACTTCAGATGGGATAAGTTAAGGAGAGCTGAGATTGACTTACAAAAAGTGCAACAGGTAAACTAGAGCAAACACAGGAAAACCAAAAATAAAATCAAACTAAATACACTAACAAATTGCTGCTGTTTAGAGAAAATTTGTCAGTATCAATGAACGAGAACACAAGGAAGATGAATCTACATGAAACCATTTTCAATTCATCTTTATGGTTCATTGATACTGACAAATTATCTCTAAATAGCCACTATTTGTTAGCATTGATTTTATTTCATGGTTTTCCTGTGTTTGCTCTACTACACCATCTGATCAATAAACCAAGTTTGTAGGTTCAACAGGAATTCTATTGTTTTACAGTGGTTAAAACTCGAGGAAGCTTATGAACAAGAAAGACAAATTACTTATACATCAGCACAAAGAGGAGGAGTTCTGGGACTTTTACTTCATCAAACAACATCACCAGACTGGCCTGAAGAACCTAAAAMCATTGAATCAGACAATGACATGGACTGTACAKCAAGTGACTACCAGCCAGACAGGAATATGTTGCAAGATTTAGTTGATGGAGTAAATACAACGACAGAGGAATTATTATCTAGAACATAGTTAAGGAAGATTTTTTGTACAGCCATGTGATGGAAGGTCAGAAGCCAAGAAATTTGTCCAGTAAATATTAAAGGAAAATAAAATATATAGTATTATCACTAAATCTCTTAATTTCTCTTTGATATAATGAAAAAGAGTAAATATTAGCTCTAGTCAACATAGTGACATATATTTATTGCTCCAATGAAACATCTGAGGCCTTAAAAACTGTTATGAGTACATCCAGCTTTCTGAAACTCAGACTTTTCATTTATTYAAAGATATCATTTTAACACCAATCATTTTTTTTTAAATATACGACTTTTAATTTCAAGATCAGATATTTTATTGATCATGTATGATGTTTCTTGTACAGTTTTGGAAATATCCTGAGATGTCAGTTGGTAAACAACGCAAGTATGACATAAGATAGTTAACCAGCTAATGAATGCCATCATTCATCGTACAAATCTAAGCACAGTATTACAATAATCTGGTTTTAAGAAGTCTTTGATTTCATCTCTTGTAACCCAYACATAATCTTCGTATTCTTCACTTAAGTGAATTGAGCCTCCAACATAACAAGCTTTGTAGAAAAACACCTGAAAATATGAAATAATTCAAGAAAAGTTAATGAAAAGCTGACGAGGAACTGTAAGTATTGAGAGGTATATTACAACAGGTTTTATACAGTGAAACAAGGATGTGTTTCCCTCAATGTGATCCATGCACAGTCATATGKAGTCTGCTTTATAGGGGAAAAGTATCCTCCCTGTTACTTGCTGCCCCTTTCGGTGCCATCCCTGTGTCATTATGCAAACTCTACTCCTTGGGGAGTTCTTGCCTGGTGATACAACGATGGTGGCTGTGAAAGGAGACTACTGCAGTGTAATATTATCTTACCCTATTAAGATGTCTTGTATTTTTTGATGCAGTTTTCAGTACTCCTGCTGGAGCATTAGAAATAAATTTCACATTGATATCAGTACCACAAGCTTGCTTAATCATTCTCTCTGCAGTCTGTCTGAGTGTTTCCTTATCTTGTATGGCTGCTAAAGGCATTTCCCATGAAGACTTTTTGTTTTTAAGCAAAAGGATTAATGTTTGTTCCAGTTTTCTATTTATACTCTTCAAGTCGTTATTTCTATCTGCTTCAGTTTCCCGATTTGCTGGTTGAAATTGACGAAACTCTTCTTCTTGCTCTTCATGAAATTCCTATAAAAATCAATCATATCCATAAGGAATCACTTGATATTAGCTAACCAATTGTGAGATCAATCATCAGTGAATGAGATGAATGAAAGTAAAAGAATGGGAATGGAAGGGAATGAACRATAAMCTCACCTTTCTTTTTTCTTCAAACTGTGCAACTTCCAAGTTTTCATCTTCATCTCTTTCTGTCAACTTCTTCTTTCTTTCTGTAACTTGTCTGACCTGAGCCTCGTCCTCGGACAAGGCACTTTTCTCCAATTCAATTTGATCTTGTAGTTCCTCGTATTTTCTTGCCAGATCTGTTTTATCTGGTGTAATTAAAGGAAGTCTYTCCACACACACMGCACTGTAGATATTCTCTGCAGGTTGAAGATCTTCCTGAGTCTTAAAACTAGTAGAAGTACAGTAGGATCTTCTGACATCTAAACTACAACGTGACCAGCTTAAATTCCCCAGTATTGAAGCTAAAAATTAAACAAATGTTCAAGTCATTAAGTCATTAAGTCATTAAGTCATTGTGTTTAACTTATAAACCATACTAACCTATTCTCACATGTCCTTTCAAACCGCTCGATACGCACGGATTTGTACAGATATTAGACAAAATCTGCGAACCTCTCCAAATCAGAAATTTAGCCGCCATTTTGGATCCAGTCTCTGATCAACGATTGGGTTTCCTGTGCATATAGCCTCGCTGTCGTACTCAATCGAGCGGCTTCCGATCGATTGTTCGCTCGGTCGTCTCTAGAAAATTATTTTTTAACAGAATTTTTTAATCATGATTGTTTAGTTTCCATGTTCGCAAGCTGTTACTATGGGCCAATGCTTTGGCACTGACTGTGCAGGTCTGTGTCCTAGATGGTCATACAGACAAGAGAAAGGCTTCGACCGATACACCAAGTTTGCACCAAAGAATCGCAGGTAAAAGTTWATCTAAAATAATTGAAAAGTACGCTAAATAAAGCACCGTTAAATATTGTTTGATATGAGAAGGAAATAGATTAAGGTCAAGAAATTATTGTACAATTAACCAACATGTTTTGTTCTCTCAACCAACGAAAGAAAGATTACACCGATTTTTTATTCATGAAAATTGACGTTTCGTTAAATGTGTTAATTTATCATTCTGAATTTGGTTTCTGATCGATGAAATCATGTCGAAARTAACGTGAAATCAGGTAGTTTTCAGCTGAAAATGTAAAAGGGGACTTCGTACTTGACTGATTGACGTCATCAAACGTTATATTGATAGTATTTGATTTGTATTACAATAGACTCATTATAAAAGACTCACATCACAGCAAATGTCTGTGTTTGTAAAAGCTCCAAAATAGAGTGTACTTTACCCAGTAGAAAAATGTTGAGCATTAGAAAATCACCTTGCATTATGTGAGCATGCTATAGTACATGGATAGATAGATATTTTGATAATAGTTTATTGAAAAAATTAAACACATTGTAGCCAAGAGCTGAATTACCTATACTATTAGTATAGTTTTAAGTATCAATCCTGCGAGCAGAGGATTTTCCCTTTTCTAATTAGAAGAAGGTGAGAAAATGCTTAGCTCACAGGGAAATATGTCATATTCAACAAGTAAGAATTAATTAAATTTTCTCTCTCATAAGCTCAAAATATGGCGATGAGCACCTTTTAAATGAAATACAAGACCCTCGCTCRGATGATGATCTTGATTTCTCAGGTAATAATGCCTACTTAATGTTCTTAATTGTATGTAATTATATATTAAAAACTGTGATTTGTTTTACTAGACATCAGTAGTGAACTAACTTCCCGACAAAATCATAAATTCAAGGATAGTCCAGTCACATCAGAAAGGTATTATTTTACTCTGGCAGTATTTCAAGAGTTCTTGCATCCAATTTTCATATTGCATCTATTTGTTTATTTCRTTCAGTCATTCACACACCCATCCATTAATCTGTCMAAACTTCTATTAATTCATCCAATCATTTGTTTGTAATTTAATCATAATGTTGTTCTGCATTTTATTTTAGGAAAAATCCTGAGAARCAACAAGTCCAACCAAACCAACCAGAATACACAACAATCACCATTGAAGCTTGATAAAATTATATAGCTGTAAATTCAATTCAATACTAATTTATAATATAACAATGACAATTTTCCACATGCATTATAAGCTCTCAATACCATTTATTTGCAAAGTTCTTGCAATATTCTTGTACATATGTTAAAGCTGAGGGCATAAATCAATGTTTTTGATTGTTTATATAACATTTCATAATAGTTTATATTACCTTATAGCTTTCAATTGAATATGAGGATCAAGGACATCATATAACAAGAACAAATTTCAATGGATGTACAATGTGTAGATAGTCACAAGATTATAACAATATTACCCTGATACCCCACCATAAGTAATATATACAATATGAGCGGGCGATCTGTATGAGGATTTAAAACAGCGAGCTGAAAGCGAGCTGTTTTAAACCTCATACAGATCGCACGCKAWTATTGTATATTACTTATGAAACGTTAAGGTAAATTAGCTCAGGTTTTAAAGAAACTTTTGAAAAAAAATTCAATCTGACTGAGAAAATCAAAGTAAAAGTTTATGCAAATGAACAAGAAATCTGTATGTAATATACAACTCTCTTCATGGGCTATGATTTCTATTGTGTTTTGCCTTATGAATATTAATGAGTTTTATAATTAAGAATAAACATTCCATATTGATATATGCTAACATTAATAATCAGCAGTAGTGTTGTTATTCATTTTAATACACTAAACAGATTCAGTTKTAGAGCACTGTCATCATATCTGGCTTTCACAGTGAGATTTACTAATAAAAAAAATTAACAGACTAAACAGATTCAGAATTTGTRAATATTTTGGGATTCCTGTGTCACTTTAAAACGCCTCCCTCACTCCCCCAMTTCGTATCACATTTCTCTATACAGTTCGGGTCGGCCGCTGCGCTGATAGACTTTCTAAACAAGGCCTAAAGGCTGAAATCTGTAAAAGCTGTGTTTATGAAACTTGTGTATTAGATTCCATATATTTAAAATTCAAATTAGTTTCTCAGAGGTCACCAAGGCAGGAGGCAGTATGTAAATGACTTAGACTTCAAAGACATTTCTAACCTACCAGCAGCATGGCGTCGAGAAAGGAAAGTTGGACTTTCAAAACCAGCAGTACCTTCGCGACAGATAGCAGTGTTGAGCTATGCCGTCTTCAAACACGTCCAGGTAACATTTTTACTAAAAAGTATCGAAATATCTAAGACTATGAGGGAAATTGTTCAATCTACCTCGAAATTTCAGAACGCCCATTAACTAAATTACTGCACGTAGTGGTCATTGGCTCTGACACGACATTGCAGACATCATATAAGCTTACCATAGAGTGTTTGTTGATTTTTTTTCTGATATGTCTATCATAAATTYCGTTGACAGCCGTTGTTATTGTTATCATACAAGCTTGTGCTGCCTAGATAGATCTAGATAGAGAGGCACTTAATTTTA